CAAACACAATCTAACACCTCCTCACAGTAAGTTCTTTCTTAAATGAACACTCTTTTACTAATAGGCTGATAAAAAACTTCCTCCTTTACTCTTTCTTTGAGCTAGGATGTGATAACACCTTTAACAACTCGATCTTGACTTGAAAATCACACTTAGGACACCGTATTCGCACACAGATACTACACACTCGCAACTGTTCTCTAGACACAAACACACAGATACTACCACGATACGATACACTTTTAAAAGAACACACACACAAAGATTCTCTTCTGACACGAACACACAGCTCCCTCTTCCATTTTACCTTGCTCATTGCTCTCCTCTGATATCTTTCAGCTGCCCAAACTCCAACCAATTCTTCCTATTTCACCCGACCGATTCCGACCGATTGCTTGGCGTATCCCACACTAATCAGTTGATTTAGGTTGATTTCCTTCCATACTTGACTTGACCTTTGAACTAGTAAGTCCCTTTTCATCCTTATCTCCTTCCTTCTCTTCCGTTCACATGCTAACTTGCTTCCTTTTCCTTTCCTCTAATTGATTTTGATTCTAGACCCTGATCTTCATCTTCATCTTCATCTTCTCTCTACAACAGCCTATGTAATTCCTTTTCGATTTTTGACTTCAATTTAGATCTTGCATATCAATATGTAAGTAAGTCCTCCTATATTTATGTTTCTTCTCTCATTGTTCATTCACTGATTGTTCCTTTCTCATTGTGGATTCCTTTTCTGTACTAATGTATTTGTATCTCCAGCAATTCAATCTCATTAACTGATCGACTCAATATCAATGTTGAACCTCCAACCGATTCTTGATTTAAAAATGTGAGTTCTTTGTATAATCTCCCTTATTTCTGACTGACTGTGTCTTTCAATTGATTTCATAATACTAATTAAACTTCTCTTGCTTTTATTCTCTTGACACTTCTAAATATGTTCTAGTTCATTAAGAGGTTTCCTAATTTTGATTTTGCTGTTTCAACTTATTGCTTCAAGCTAAATCAATATCAATCAATGGTAACATGTACAAATTTCAATTTTCAGCTTCCATTTTCATTTCTTTCATACTATGTAGATAATGACTTGTCCATTTGACCAGCTTTTATTTTGCTTGTCTGTTGTGATAGGATAATGAGGATCTAAAGTAATTAAAGCACCTGATTCAAAGTCATAAAAACTATGATTAGAGATGGGATGAGCCCAATTGTCTTGAAAATGAAAGTTGAGAGTTGATGAGCCTTGATGTTATGAATGTGAGGATCATAAGTTGTGAAGACTGTAGTGATTGATCATGTAATATAAGGTGCTGTTGAAGAATTTGCTTCCCACAATGTTCATGTCTTGCAGGAGTGGAACATTCATTGTGAGGAATATGGGTGTTATTAGGCAGAATTTTGGGTGGGGAGGCAAAAAAAACATGAGAAAAGTTGATACAATCAAAGAGTAATGTTCCAATACGAAGATGCGACTTCATATTTTGACTTTTATAGAAAAACAAAAAAGTTTTCTGTATGCAACATCTTGGGGAAACCAGGGTCAAATACCACTAATGAGACCTTTAGTCATCTTTGAATAGGTACAGTTTACACTGTGAATACCCACATCCAAAGCACAATGGATTAGAATCATGATGAAATTTTCACTTCTGAGTTTGCATCAAAACTAAAAACATACTTTTCAGATGTGTTTTTAACACACTACCAACAAAGGTTTATGGAGCCAATATAAAGGGCTATGCATGGGTCTTGAATAGTTTCCATGCCTGAAGGTTGGGGTCAAATTTTGAGGCATGCTCTAGCGTAAGCATATTCAGTTTCAACATTTTGGATATCTGCAAAACTTCAAAAGTTTTGTTGGAACAGTGTGCTACCAAAACACCCTCAGAATGTGATACAAAGCCAATGGGATGGCCATATGTGGGTCTTGGAAAGGTCCCATGACTAAAAATGGTTGTGAATTTCCTAGCCTAGTATGCATACATACACATGCAACTTCAACTTTTTGGATATCTCCAAAACTTTAAAAGTTTTATTGGAAGAGTGTGCTCCCAAAATACCCTCAGAATGTGATACAGAGCCACCGGGAAGGTCATATATGCTTCTTGGAAAGGTCACATGACTAAAAATCATTGTAAATTTCTTAGCCTAGTATGCATACATACACATACAACTTCAAACCTTCAGTTATCTTCAAAACTTTAAAGGTTTCATTAGAAGTGCTTAATTCCAATATGTGAAGATGTTGCATCTTCTTTCACCCACAAATACACCCGCTTGCTATCTGTTAATGACTTTGTGTGTAGACATATATGATACTCAATATGAAATGATACCATTAACAATTTATTATTCTTTTTTGAGAGTTCAAAAGATGGTTTTAAAAGCCTACAAACCATAGAATAGAAGTTGTTCTATGATATGTGTGCTAACACTAAGTCCCTCTTGGCCAAAAATGCTTAGTTAGGCTACATACATATGTATTTAATGGATTTAATGACATGTAAATTTCAAAATCACAGACAAAGCTACTTTTGAATTGAAGTTCAAACAGTGTTTTTGTATTTTTCTATTAACTTGTTTAATGTCAAGAAACATGATTTTTGATTCAGGTAGAAAATCATTTGTGCCCCTTTACCTTAACCTCACCAAAACCACATCACAATCAACCGAATTTGCACAACCAATCTGACTCTCATCAATTCCATTCAACAATGCCTTCCACACGCTCAGGAAAAACAAGAAGCTCAACTGTAGCCAAAAAAAAAATACCAAGAAAACCAAACAAACCACCACAAATATCACTTTGAATTCCAACAATACTAGTACCAGTTGTACTGGAGAAGAGGACCATGGTAGTATTCAAGATCCTACTGGGGATGACTCAACACCCAAGCGGTCATCTACCATCTTTCAATCATGTTTCCCTGGGCTAGAACTTGACACCTTCAAAGACAAGCTTGACAACTGGACACTCATCAAACTTCAGGAAGTGATCCCATCTCAAGGTTTCTGTCGAAGCAAAGCACCTAAGGAGATACCAAAGAATGTTCAAGTTATTCAATTGGAACTGGAAAAACACATACTCATGATTGCATTGATGGCTGGAGTTCCTGAGATTGTCATCTGGAATTTGTTGTAAGTGAGGTTGTAAGCTTTCCCAATTCCATTGTATTAAACTGATTTTCCTTATCTTGATCCATCAAAGAGGAATGGGGACTAAGAAAGGAAAGGCAAATCCCTGGAGTCATTTCCTTAGTTTCTGTGTGAAATGTTTGGGTGATAAATGTATGTTACTTGAGCATTATTCAAGATCATTTCTCATCTTTTCAATCTTACTTTCATTTCAACAAATGCTGACCTCAACAATTTTTTTTAAGTGCTTCTTGGCCATTGTTTGTTTTTGATTCTACCCCAAACCAATATTCATGTCCAATTTTCAGTGCCCAACCACAATGATAAAGATGTGTGTGTGAAACACAATCAGGAAATGACGGATATATGGCATGCCTTCTCAAAAGATCAGCAAACAATCTTCAAAGATCACTGCTTTTTTGCACTAGTCAACCTTCCAGATTATTCCAACACTTTGCTTCCCAACAATGGTCATCAGGATGAAGAGAATGATAATGGTGTTGATACTAAAAGCTTTGACTCTGCCACTGTAGCACCCAAGGTTTATCAACTCTTGGATGAGGACAAATCAAAATATCAGCTGCTTTTCAAAAAAACTTGTCAATGTAGACAAAGTCCATCTCTGTCATGGTAAGCCTGAACCTTCACCTGGTTGTTAGTCGCTGTACGCAGGGCGCATCAAGATGTAAGCTCCAATTTGTGCATGTACAGCGCTTATATGTAGAAAAATATTGACTAGCTAACTCACTGTGTGTTTCCGAGGTTCTCTGTTGTCTGTCAACAACACCAGATTTCCTACTACAGAAATTCTGTGAGCTGTGGTGGTGTCAACGGCTGGTCACAAACATTCTCCAATAATCTCAAATTTGCCAATTGGGCCTTTAAGACTCCGAAAATCCCCAAAAAGTTCTCAACCTACGTCCATGGAAAGGAAAGGCCCCACAGCCAAGCAATCAACAAAAAAGGACCTTATGCCATCAGCTGAATGACCTTTTGAGTAAGTTTTTTAGATCTATATACTTAAAGAAATCTTCTTCCCGACCATCTCTACACCCCAGCCTTCATTACCTTTGCCGTATACTTTTTCACCCTATACTGCTTTACTTCAATACCAACCTTCACTACTCTTCAGCTTTAATTCTCCCTCCGTTTGCTTTTACACCCTTTACTGCCCTACTCCAATGACGAGCCTTACTTGAGATCATTTCATGTACCTAGCGCTGCCAACCATCTCCTTTCTTCAGCACTAACTCATCCTCACCACCACGTCTACAGTATAAATCCACTACTAACACATTCAAGAAACACATGATTCTGATTGCACCAGTCAAAAACTCCATGAGACATCCACCCAATGACCTGGGCATTTCTGGTAACCCTGTCTATCAATTTACCCACTTCAGACTTAACTTTCCCCACCTAAAGTCAAGCCGGACTCAGACTCGATCTCACCCTAATTATACCGTCATGATCCTGAATCTGCCTTACATCGGCCAGTCATTAGTCTTCAGCCTCCCCTCAAATTTTATATCTTGGCCTAACTTATGCCCAGCCTAGCCGTTGCCGCCCTGCAATTCTAATAACAGTACCACGCACTTCATTATCGATCCAATCCACTCTACTCATTTCCCTCTCGAAATTGGCCTAGCCATTCTACTCACCGTGGCATCCTAGCATCGTTGTTTGCCGCTTCTCTCCACTCTCATAGTTCGCCTCAAATAGTGAGTAACACATCGCTTTTTCACTCCTTTCTCTTCATCCTCATCCGTCTGTTTCAATTCATACCCGCTTCCATCTTCACATTCATCCCATATTGTTCTACTCAGCGCAGCGCGCTCATACGTCTCTACCATTTAGATATCATGTCAGGACCTAACATCCCACTCAAACAGTCTCATGTTGTCACAATCTCCGGCGTCGTCGAAAACAGTGCTGTGGTTAGTGATATTACCGCCTGCTTGATTCTTGCACTGTACTGACCCATTCCTCAGCACCCACCTTCGGACGCTCGCAATTA